GAAGGGGACTGGGAAGACACGTTGAAATAACCCTGGGCCAACAAGAATACAGTTGTGATGGCTCCCGAGTTATCAGTGAGGCTGCCGCTGAAGCGAAAGGATTCTGCTTGACTGCCGCAGATGAGGTTGTTCCACCATGATTGAAGTGGATCTGACCACTCCTGCCTCCCGAGTAGCTTCCTGTTCCCTCCCTCACACCAGTTGCTCACAGGCTCGCTAAGAGCCCTGGACGGGCCAGTTCCGGCCCCCGGGCCTTATGTTTGACACCCCTGCCCTAAGGGGTTTGTGTGACACCCCCCCTTTATAAACACACCACATTGCCCTGAACCCAAAGGAATAGGCTTCAAGACCATGATAGGCGCCAACTAAACCACCCCCTCCCTGCTCTATAACCCCCCAAAGGTCCCCTATGGGGCCCATGCGACCCCTCTGTGAACTCGTCTCATGGAACTGGACCAATAGGAATGGGTTTTGAGTTCCAAGCATGCGTGGGTGGAGGGTGAGCCAAAACTACCTCCATCCTCCGGCAGCCCATCAAGGGCCTCATGGGATATCTCTAAGAACTTACCTTGACGGAAGTCTTTGTTTTGCCTTTTGGTGTTTCCTACAGAGGGAAGTCTCTGGCTGGATTCGTCCTCGCTTGCTCACCTGCTAAGAGAGCATTGTCGCTTTCTCCTAGAGAGCCAGTTTGGTGTAGTGGTTAAGTGTGCGGACTCTAATCTGGGAGAACCGGGTTTGATTCCCCACTCCTCCACTTGCACCTGCTGATGTGACCTTGGGTCAGTCACAAGCTCTGGCACAGCTGTCCTTGAAAAAGAGCAGTTTGTGTCAGAGTTCTCTCAGCCCCACCCACCTCACAGGGTGCTTGTTGTGGGGAGGGGAAGGGAAAGGAGTTTGTAAGCCGCTCTGAGACTCCAAGTGAAGGACGGGGTATAAATCCAATCTCTCTCTCTCTCTCTCTCTTTTTGCAGGGCTTCATTGCTCCACACATTTGTCTGTTCCTGGACTTAAGAAACAAGCGGACCGAAAAACCTGCTAGTTTTGTCTGAGCCTCCCCTTCAAGATGAAAGACTCTGCTAGCCCTGAAGGAGACAGAATTCCTCGTGCCACCCAGGCTGTGAAGAGGAGGGGCTTGGGAGGACGAAGGGTGCGGAAAGCCCAGCGTGGGGACACCATCAGCTCAGATGTCCAGCGCCAGTGTTTCAGGCAGTTCCGCTACCAGGAGACCAAAGGGCCCCGAGAGGTCTGCGGCCAACTCCACCGTCTTTGCCGCCAGTGGCTGAAGCCGGAGAGGCACAGCAAGAAGGAGATGCTGGACCTGGTGATCCTGGAGCAGTTCCTGGCCGTCCTGCCCCCAGAGATGGAGAGCTGGGTGAGGGAATGCGGCCCGGAAAACAGTTCCCAGGCGGTGGCCCTGGCGGAAGGCTTCCTCCTCAGCCAGGCAGCGGACAAGATGCAGGAAGAGCAGGTGAGGAGTTTTTTATTCTAGTTGTGAAGAGGGGTAAAAACCATCCTCCCCTGTCCCTTTGTTAATCCGTCTTCCAATGCCACGGATGTTATTTCAGATCACTCACTCCCCTGAGGCAGAGAATACCCCATCGAACCCCAGAAAAAGACCAGTTCTCAACAGGACCCCACAGGAGGGTAACCAGCTGGGTAAGGTGAAATGAGATGCATGTCAACGTGGTACAAAATTATATTTTAATCCCATTTTCCATCGCTCAGGGCAGTATCCATGATACTGGGTTCTCCATCTGCCCAACAGTCGCCCTTACAACAACCCTGCCAAGTCTGTTAGGCTGAGAGTGCTTTGGCCAAGGCTCTCTGATCTGCATCCAACAGTTTAACCGCTAGGGGAGCTGCAGTGGCTCAGAAGCAGAGCATCTGCTTGGCATGCAGAAGGTCCCAGGTTCAATCCCGAGTATCTCCAGTTACAGAGTGATGTGCAAGACCTCTGTATGAGACCTTGGAGAGCTGCTGAGTAGACAGTACTGGCCTTGAGGAGCAAGGGCCTGGTTCAATATAAGGCAGATTCATGTGTGCATTGCATTCCACTGTTTCTTAATAAGAACATAAGAGAAGCCATGTTGGATCAGGCCAGTGGCCCATCCAGTCCAACACTCTGTGTCACACAGTGGCCAAAACCCAGGTGCCATCAGGAGGTCCACCAGCGGGGCCAGAACTCCAGAAGCCCTCCCACTGTTGCCCCCCAAGCATGAAGAAGACAGAGCATCACTGCCCCAGACATAAGAACATAAGAGAAGCCATGTTGGATCAGGCCAGTGGCCCATCCAGTCCAACACTCTGTGTCACACAGTGGCCAAAACTCAGGTGCCCTCAGGAGGTCCACCAGCAGTGCTGGCGAAATGTCAAGTACTACAATGCCAAGACCACGGCCATCCATCCCGGAAAATCTACAACTGACTGACATGATAAATGACCTGTTTTGTCTCCTTCACAGGCAATAGCAGGGCACTGATTCTTCATTGTAGACCTTCTCGTCGTGGTGGAATGGAAACCACCTCTGTGCAGCCAGATCAGGTAAGGGGGTGGTGCTTACAGAGAAGTTCTGGGGACTCCCTGTTCTTTGGGGCCCGCCAAAAGAGGGATGGTTTAAACGTTGCTGCTGAAGAACTTCCATCTCCCTCACCTGCACACTCTTTTTGGATTATCTGCAAGGAAAATGACGGTCCCTTCTTTCAGGATCTGGTGACCTTTGAGGATGTGGCCGTGTATTTCTCAGAGGAGGAGTGGGATCTACTGGATCCGGACCAAAGGGCCTTGCACCGGGAAGTCATGGCAGAGAATTGCAGGAACCTGGACTTTCTGGGTATGGCTCCCTCTTGAAAGTGGGGATTCCTTCTGATGTTCAGTGCATAGTCATCACCACATAGGAGGCTTAATTCTTTTTCATGTCCTCCTGACCTAATGCCCAGGCCAAATCTCTCAAGGCATCAGGGGAAGGGGCAACTATCTAAGGCATTCAAGGGAAGAGCTGTGGCCCAGTGGCAGAGCATCTGCTTGGCATGCGGAAGGTCCCAGGTTCAATCCCAGGCATCTCCAGTTAAAAGGCCCAGGCAGTTTCTGGTGTGAAAGACCTCCGCCTAAGACCCTGAAGAGCTGCTGCCAGTCTGAGTCGACCGTACTGACTTTGATGGACCAAGGGTCTGATTCAGTAGAAGGCAGTTTCATGTGCTCATGTGTCCGCCCTCAAATCCTCTGAAAACTGCAATCCAGGAGGAAAGGAAAACTATGTGCCATGGTGCCGATGACCCAAAGACTCCCTGGGTGTAGGTAGTCAACCTCATGACCTCTCAAAGACATGGCAATAACTCACCAGGGCTGCGGTCACACGAAGCATTAGCCACTCTACAGAGACGGAAGATAGGCGGATTTTCCGGGCGCGATCACACCGCCACATCTGGGAAGCGTAGAGCTCCCGTGGCTCACCCGAGGCTTCCCGCCAAAGATGCGGGGTAAAAAACTAGTACCTCCGAGGTACTAGTTTCCAGAAACCGCGGGGCAAGGGCGGGCGTCTGATCGTGTTTCCGGTGGTAGGTCGTGGCATCCGGCGCCTGCCCATGTCCCAAGGCGAAAAGGGTTTTTTCCCCCAAGTCTCCACGGGATGCGCACAAGCACCCAACGGCGCATGCGCACACTTTGGTTTAAAAAAACCCCACAACCCCGTTTGCCACAGCAGCAGCGCCTCTGTGATCGCACCGCGCCGCTTCTTTGGCGCTCTACGGGATTGTGGTATGATCGGCACCTCCCCCCGAACCACGGGACGTCAGCGGGACATATGATCCGCCAGCCATGCGGTAGTTCGCTCCGGGGCAAACAGCCACGCCCCCCGCACGCGCACGCGATATCCGGCCCGTGTGACCGGGGCCCAGGACAGTCACGAAGCTCTGGACCTGGGAATCTCTCCTCCAAACAGAATTAGCAAAATGTCACAGCATCACCTCCTACTTCTAGCAGCAGAACACCTGCTAGAAAAAGAGGAGACAGAGTCTATCCAGAGGCCCAAAGTTCAATAGTTCAAAGATATGGGGGCTTTAAAATTTCTTTTAAAACCCCCCAGAAAAAGAACAAGGGGAAAAACCTATAATCCGGCAACTAAATAAGGTTTTTTAAAAAGATACATAAGGACGAGGCAAAAATATAACAGCGGTCTCGATAAACGGTTTCCAAATATCTGAAGTCCATACGCAGTTGCCGTCTATATGCCCTGTGCTGATAGAGGTCTAAGGCGACACCAGCAGCTGCAAGTGGAGGAGTGGGGAATCGACCCCGGTTCTCCCAGACAAGAGTCCGCTGCTCTTAACCCCCACACCAAACTGGTTAACATAAGAACATAAGAGCCGCCAATGTTGGATCAGGCCAAAGGTCCATCCAGTCCAACCCTCTGTGTCACACAGTGGCCAGAAATACCAGGTGCCATCAGGAGGTCCACCAGTGGGACCAGGACACTAGAAGCCCTCCCACTGTTGCCCCCCACCACCAAGAATACAGAGCATCATTTGCCCCAGAACCCCTATCTAGACCTTGTGTCTGTGTCTGTGGAGTTCTCAGGGAAATGGGAAAAAGTGAACAAACTTTCCTTTCCGTCTCCTCCGCAGGGGTTGGAAGGACACCCATACTTCATTCCAGACCTTCTAATTGCGATGGAACGAAAACCACCTCTGGGCGACGAGATCGGGTAACGGGGGAGGGGATGTTTAGGGAGGGCCCCTGACCCCGGGACAAAAGGGATCTGTGTCTTCTAGGGGTGGTGTGAATGCTGCCGCTGAAGAACTCCCCCAGCCCCTTGCCTGCACTCTCTCGTCAGGTGATCTGAGGGAATGTTCCTTTCTTCTTTCAGAGTCTGGTGACTGTGGAGGATGTGTCTGTGGAGTTCTCGGAGGAGGAGTGGGCTCTGCTGGACCCGGACCAAAGAGCCCTGCACCAGGAAGTCATGGAGGAGAATTACAAGAGTCTGGCCTCTCTGGGAATCTCTCCCTCTGTCTTGGCTGGTAAATACAGGACAGTAGGAATTGATGGTGGTGGTTGTTGTTAAGTATCAATGCGTATTGAAAATTACAGTGGCTAAACTCTGTTCCCTTAAAACTCCCTTTATCTATCATCTAGTTCCTCTGGGAGAGCTAGTTTGGTGTCGTGGTTAAGTGCGCAGACTCTAATCTGGGAGAACCGGATTTGATTCCCCACTCCTCCACTTGCAGCTGCTGCATGACCTTGGGCAAGCCATAGTTCTGTCAGAGCTGTTCTTGAAAAAGAGCAGTTTCTGTCAAGAGTTCTCTCAGCCCCACCTACCTCACAGGGTGTCTGTTGTGAGGAGGGGAAGGGAGAGGAGTTTGTAAGCCGCTCTGAGAAACCTTTGGGTAGTGAAGGTCGGGGTATAAATCTAATCTCTTCTTCTTCTTCTTAGCTGTGAAGTCTTGTGAGCCAAAATTCTACTTAGCTGTGAAGTCTTGTGAGCCAGTTTGGTGTAGTGGTTACCTGCGTGGACTCTAATCTGGGACAACCAGGTTTGATTCCCCACTCCTCCACTTGCACCTGCTGGATGACCTTGGGCAAGCCATAGTTCTGGCACAGCTGTTCTCGAGAAAGAGCAGTTTCTGTCAGAGCTCAGCCCCACCTACCTCACAGGGTGTCTGTTGTGAGGAGGGGAAGGGAAAGGAGTTTTAAGCCGCTTTGAGACTCCCTTGGGTAGTGAAGGGCGGGGTATAAATCGAATCTTCTCTTCTCTTCTCTTCTTCTTCATCTAGCAAAAGGTATAGTGAATATTTGCCCAGAATCCAAAGGAGATTGCTCAGGAAACCCCCAAAATAACATTAAAGTATTCTTGAAATCCTATCTGAAGTGCTCTAAAACAATTTGGTCCTCTCTCGCTCTTTTTAAAACTCTTCCATCCTGTTAGCATCTCAAATCCAGCTCTTTGAGATTCTTTTCACAGGGAGAATATGGCCATTTTCCAGAGACTCGTTACACAGGTGCAGTAGGGGGCATCAGAACGAGACGCTGCCTCCCGAATCCCCCGTGGAAGAACTGGGAGTTGGTCTCAGAGGGGGCTTGCTGAGGCTTCCGTTTCCTTCATTGCCTCCCTCTACATGACATTCCTTATGTCAAAATCCTAGCAGCACTTTGTCCCTTCTTTTTCCAAATGGCGATCTCTCTTCCACCCACTTACACTACATACCGGTAGGCAAGATTCCAGATAAGACTGAGGTGGCGTGGCCCAGTGGCAGAGCATCTGCCTGGCATGTGGAAGGTCCCAAGCTCAATCTCTGGCATCTCCAGTGCAAAGGATCAGGTAGGAGCTGATCAGAACATCAGCAGAGTCCTGCTGGACAGACCAGTGATTCATCTACTGCAGCATCCTGTCTCACACAGTGGCCAGCTAGTTCCTCTGGATGGCCAACAACAGGGCATGGAGGCTGATGCCATTCCCTGATATGTACATAAGAAGAGCCCTGCTGGATCAGCCCAGTGGTCCATCCAGTCCAGCATCCTGTCTCACACAGTGGCCAGCTAGTTCCTCTGGATGGCCAACAACAGGGCATGGAGGCTGATGCCATTCCCTGATATGTACATAAGAAGAGCCCTGCTGGATCAGCCCAGTGGTCCATCCAGTCCAGCATCCTGTCTCACACAGTGGCCAGCTAGTTCCTCTGGATGGCCAACAACAGGGCATGGAGGCTGATGCCATTCCCTGATATGTACATAAGAAGAGCCCTGCTGGATCAGCCCAGTGGTCCATCCAGTCCAGCATCCTGTCTCACACAGTGGCCAGCTAGTTCCTCTGGATGGCCAACAACAGGGCATGGAGGCTGATGCCATTCCCTGATATGTACATAAGAAGAGCCCTGCTGGATCAGCCCAGTGGTCCATCCAGTCCAGCATCCTGTCTCACACAGTGGCCAGCTAGTTCCTCTGGATGGCCAACAACAGGGCATGGAGGCTGATGCCATTCCCTGATATGTACATAAGAAGAGCCCTGCTGGATCAGCCCAGTGGTCCATCCAGTCCAGCATCCTGTCTCACACAGTGGCCAGCTAGTTCCTCTGGATGGCCAACAACAGGGCATAGAGGCTGAAGCCTTTCCTTGATGCTGCCTCCTAGCTCTAGCAATGAGAGGATTTGTTCCTCTGAACATGGAGGTTCCTCTCAGTCACTATGGCTAGTAGCTATTGATAGACTTGTCCTCCATGAATCTATCTACTCCCCGTTTAAAGCTGTTTATTTCTGTGACCGGGGCCGCGGTGGCTCAGTGGTTAAGATGCTTAGCTGCGGACCAGAAGGGCAGTAGCTCAGCAGTTCGAGACCCGAGTGCCGCATGACGGAGTGAGCTCCCGTTTCTGGTCCCAGCTCCTGCCAAACTAGCAGTTCGAAAACAAGAAATTGAAAGTAGATAAATAGGTACCGCTTCAGTGGGAAGGTAACAGTGTTCTGTGTGCCTCGGTGTCTAGTCATGCCGGCCATATGACCACGGAAATGTCTTCAGACAGCGCTGGCTCTTTGGCTTGAAAACGGAGATGAGCACTGCCCCCTAGAGTCGGATTTGACTGGCTTTCGAGCAAGGGAAACCTTGCTCGAAAGAGAGCCCGTTTGGTGTAGTGGTTAAGTGTGCAGACTCTAATCTGGGAGAACCGGGTTTGATTCCCCACTCCTCCACTTGCACCTGCTGATGTGACCTTGGGTCAGTCTCAAGCTCTGGCACAGCTGTCCTTGAAAAAGAGCAGTTTGTGTCAGAGCTCTCTCAGCCCCACCCACCTCACAGGGTGTCTGTTGTGGGGAGGGGAAGGGAAAGGAGTTTGTTTCCTCCTTCTCCTTCCTCCTCCTCCTCCTCCTCCTCCTCCTTCTTCTTCTCTTCCTTATTTCTGTGGCCATCACTACATCCCCTGTCCCAAATCCCACATTTTAATCACTCTCTGTGATATGATGTGAAAGACCTCTGCCTGAGACGTTGGATTGTTGCCCGTCTGAGTGAACAATACTGACTTCATTGGACCAAGGGGTCTGATTCAGTATATGGTAGCTTCATAATCTATAGGCATCGTTCCACTTTGACCAATATTGTCTTCTTGAAGAAAAAGTTGTTCTTGAAAGTCTTGGGGGGAGTCTTCCAAACATTCGTTTTTGAGATGCTTTCACAGGAGATGCCTAAGAGTGAGCCAGGAGGTTTCTGCTTGGAAGAGCACCCTTGTGTCCGTACCCTATACCATGTTGCCAGCCTGTTCCTGTAGATCTACAGAGGCTTATTTCACACAGGGCAAAATTTTCCCAGCAATGTGTTTTCCATTCACAACAGCTATTATTTGCATCCCATCTGTGACTTGAAACTACCGTGTCTCCCTTACCAAGTCAGTCTTAGTCTCTCTCACTCTCTCTCTTTTCCCTACAGGTGTTGTGAGAAAACAACAGCAGAGAAAGAAAACTGAAGCAAAGGCGATGAAGGAATCCAAGGCTTCTGAAAAGCCCGGCAGTCAGGAAATCCCAAGTCAAGAAGAAAGCGGCAAGCGAAATAAAAGAAACAAGTTTCGCCGCTTTGCAAAACCCTTCGCTAGTCAGTTAATCCTTAGACCCCGTTGGAGAATACCCAACGGTGGGAAAAGCTCGGAGCTTGGAAAGAGCTTCAGTCCGACCAAAAATCTTACTTCCCATCAGAAAGGCCCCAAAGGGGAAAGGCCGTACCAATGCTCAGTTTGTGAGAAGCGGTTTGTTCAGAGTGCTCATCTTGCCACCCATCAGAGAGTGCACACAGGAGAGAAACCATATAAATGCAAAGAATGTGGAAAGAGGTTCACAGAGAGCAAAAGCCTCGTTGCCCATCAAAGAATCCACACCGGGGAAAAGCCCTATGAATGCTCTGTCTGTGGGAAAAGCTTCAGAGTCAGCATCACTCTTACATACCACCAAAGAATCCACACAGGAGAGAAACCGTACAAATGCACAATATGTGGAAAGATTTTCAGAGTCAGCTCAAGTCTCCGTTCACATCAGAGGATCCACACAGGGGAGAAGCCGTATAAATGTTCCATATGTGGTAAGAGCTTCATTCAGAGCGCACACCTCGTTTCTCATCAGAGAATCCACACAGGGGAGAAGCCATTTCGATGTTCCGAATGTGGAAAGACCTTCAACCAGAGTGCAAACCTTATTAGACATCAAAAAACCCATGCTGGATAGAAGTCACGTACATGCTTGGAGGTTTGGGAAGAGCCTCAGTGGCCACACGAAACTTCACCTCGGTACCTGCCACGGGGTGAGTTCAACCCTTCATCCGTAGCGTTAACCCTCGCAAGCACTTGGCTGATGGGATGGACGTCGGCCTTGGTTTGGAAGGCTATATACCAGTACTCAGAACTACTAGGCCCAGGTTGTGTCTGTGATTAATTGTTGGTAGCAATTGTATTTATTTATTTATTCAGAATATTTATGTACCCTGCCCTTTCTCCTGACACAGTAAAAACCCAAGACAGGTAGGCAGGAGCCTGACGCTTATTCTGTTTAAGGGTGCTATACACCTACGGGTTGTTATCTAAGTGGCAAATATCAGTTGGACCCTAGGCTGTGGTTATTTATCCTTTTAATTGCTGCTTACATAGTTTAGACTAGTAAAATGTGAGCAACGTTTATGATAAAGGAGTGCCTTATTGAGGATCTTGACAGAGAGACGTGGAGCCATTGTGGTGTAGTGGTTAAGGCAGGGCTCTTTTTGTAGCAGGAACTCCTTTGCATATTAGGCGACACACCCCTAATGTAGCCAATCCTCCAAGAGCTTACAGAACTCTTCTTACAGGGGCTATTGTAAGCTCTTGGAGGATTGGCTACATTGGGGGTGTGTCGCCTAATATGCAAAGGAGTTCCTGCTACAGAAAGAGCCCTGTAGTGTCGGACTAGTATCTGGGAGACTTGGGTTCGAATCCCCACTCGTGCCCTGGAAGCTCCCTGAGTGACCTTGGGCCAGTCTCACCCTCTCTCGGCCTTATCTACCTCACAGGGTTGTTGTGAATGTAAAATATGGGGAGAGGAGGACAACCTAAGCCATTTTGGGTCCCCACTGGGGAGGAAAGCAGGGTATGAGCGAATTGAATAAAAACATAAAGTTACACACATAAGGACATTTATAAGGATCAGAGATCCCCCCTTTGTAGTGACACAGTCTACAAGTGTCGAGGAGTCTTTCCTTCCTTTCTGTTTGGTTCTGATTTTAAAAAACAGAGAGATGATTGGGAAGAAGCTATGGTTCAGTGGTAGAGCCTCTGCTCCGAATGTAGAAGATCGCAGGTCCAGCCTCCCAATATATCCAGTTAGAAGGATCCAGGATGGGAAAGACCTCTGCCTGAGACCCTGGACACAGTCAGAATAGACAATCATGATCTTGTGAAACCAATTATCTGATTCAGCAGAAGGGAGATTTACCTCACGGAGGCAGTGTTTGGTCAGCTGCTCTAGGCTAGGCTATCCCTGCAGAAGGACAAAATCCTCAAATACAAAATTCATCAGCTGGCCCAACCGATCTTTTTTCTCCCCCTTCAATATCTCACCCTGCCGGTTCCCCCCCAAAAAACCCCAGACTGTTCAGCTTAATCTGGGCAACATGCTGACACCGCTAAGTCCAGCCATAACTGGGTGGATAGAAATGGCATTGAACTTGCACGGCCAGATACATGCTCCAAAACTGAACGCTCCCCTTAGCTGGCTTGCATCTGCAAAAAAGTGGGAAACATCTGTGTTGTTGTTGTTGTTCAGTCGCACAGTCGAGTCCGCCTCTTCGCGACCCTATGGACCAGATCATGCCAGGCCTTCCTGTCTTCCGCCGTCCTCTGAAGTTTGCTCAAGTTCATGTTTGTTGCATCTATGACATTGTCTAACCATCTCATCCTTTGCCGTCCCCGTCTTCTTTGACCTTCAATATTTCCCAGCATCAGGTTCTTCTCCAGTGAGGGCTCCCTTCTCATTTGGTGGCCAAAGTATTTGAGCTTCAGTTTCATTATCTGGCCTTCCAGGGAACAGTCAGGGTTGATTTCTTTTAGGATTGACTGATTTGATCTTCTTGCAGTCCAAGGGACTCTCAAGAGTCTTCTCCAGCACCATAGTTCAAAAGAATCTATTCTTCGGCGCTCGGCCTGCCTTATAGTCCAACTCTCGCAGCCATACATGACTACTGGGAATACCATTGCTTTGACCATGCGGACTTTTGTTGGCAGGGTGATGTCTCTACTTTTTATCATGCTGTTTAGGTTTGCCATCGCTTTCCTCCCAAGGAGCAGGCGTCTTTTAATTTCATGGCTGCTGTCACAGTCTGCGGTGTATTAGCCCACATGAAATCCAGAACCGGCAAGAAATCCCACGCCGTGCCTTTTCATTAAGGCCAGTCAAAATGACACAGAGTACCGTTCGTGCTTTCGAGTTCATGAGAACGCTTATGCAGGCAGATGTCACAAAAAAAATAAAAAGTTAAGGAGGGCAAAGGCAGACTCTTATGCTGGCTATGGTGGTGCTGGATGCTCTGTGGGGAACGGCTTGTGGCTCAGCCGATCACCAGCGGCCAATCAGAAGCCTTGCTGGGCCAAAGCCCCATTTAGCCCCACCCACTTTCTAAAACCGCTCAGTGGGCACCAAGAAAGCTGTTGGCAGGCACCGTTTTGGGAACCTCATAGCACATGATGTGAGAGACCTTCACCTAAGACAGTGGAGAGCCTTGGTGGACCAGTGGACAGTGGAGGCCTTGGTGGACCAGTGGTCTGATTCAGCATAAGGCTGCTTCAAGTTTCTTCTTCATATTTTCCCATTTTCGTGCACACGTGTGCCTGTGTGCCTGTGCCTGGAAGTCATGGTGACCTCTGGCGACTCCTACTGAGGCATGGAGGAAGTGTAGAGAAGTGACTCGATAGCCTGCCTCTGTCTCCCGGCCCCGGTATTCTTTGGAGGTCTCCCATCCAAATACTTACTAGGGCCAGCCCTGCTTCGCTTCCGAGATCTGACGAGATCGGGCTTGCCTGGGCTATCCAGGGCAGGGGCTAGGCAGCTTTGTGTTTCCGCGTGGATGCTGACAGGCTCACAGACTGGTTCAGTTGATGGAGGTGTGACATCCCAGCACTTGGGTTTGGGGACAAAGAAGCAAGCAAAGGAGGCACATCTCAGCTGAAGCAATGAAGTCAGGCTACATCCACTCTCCCCCCCCCCCAGTACTTTAATATAATTGTTCAGATGTTCAGAAATGGCTGAGGGAGAAATAATGGGTACCTACCCTTAGATGGGTAGGGGGCACCCTCCTCGGGCGAGGTGTGTGGTGGAGATACCAGTGGCGGCAAAAACATTGGCAGCGGCAGAGCATTGGTGGCGGAGGCGGTGTGGCGATGCAGCGGCAGCAGCGGCGAGGTCATTGGAGCGATCCCTGGCGGCCAGTATAACATCGTGCGGCTGACGGCGGCGGAGGCGGAAATCGGAAGGCATGCGATGACGTGGAGCGTGAGCGCGGTGGAACCTAATGGACACAAGCCGAGGCCGGAACGGACATGGACCATGCGCCTGAACGGTCCCGCCAAAAAGGAAGCCACCCTGAACGCCAGGACGAACGCCCCGACCGAAGACCGCCGGGGAAAAACGGAGCCGAGCTGGAGAACAAACAACAGGCCCACCACCTGGGTGCCGGTAGGCAGCCCCGTCCCTACACCATGTGGCCCTAGTTAGGGAAGCAACCGTTCTTAGAACCCCCTATGTAAACCGCCCAGAGACCCCTTGGGGTCAGGGCGGTATAATAAGTCGAATGATAATAATAATAATGTGAGAAGATTTTGATGAGAAGATTTCAGGGATGGACTGTGATTCAGTGGTGGAGCATCTGCTTGGTATGTGGAAGGTCCCAGGTCCAATCCCCAGCCATCTCCAGCTCAAAGGCCCAGGGGGTAGGGGGTGTGAGAGACCTGAGACCCTGGAGAGCCACCGCCAGTGTGACTAGAAAGACTGACCAACCGTGATGGACCCGTGATCCAGTATGAGGGAGCTTCATGTGTTCCTATTATGGAACAATGAATAACCACCCTTAATGGACCATCAAGATGGGTTAGTTAAAAATCCCTTCCAAAATGTTCATACTTTAATAAAAGAAATGCTGCCACAGAGATTATCAGATCCCAGTCTGAGGGGTTGACTTCTTTCATTCAACTCCAAAAGAACCTATTCTTTGAGAGTCTCCCGTCAAATCTGTAATGTTCAGATGAGATCAATGACAGACGCTGACCATCCTCCAGTATTTCTTTCTTGGAAATGTCCCTAAAATACATAGTTTAGATGCCGGAGATTAACAGTGCCATCCTGGGCATAGTTACACCCTTCTAACTCCATGGCAAAGGGTTGTAGGACGATGTAACTCTCTTCATTCCTTGAACAGCAAAGTGACAAACAAGCAAGTGTTGGCACGCATGCAACCAGACATGTCATTGGGAGGGAAAATCATTAAACTGTGACTGACTTATTTTGGAAGAACTCATTAAAAAGCAATTGTGCTTGGATTGGTTAGTGGCAAAAGGAAACCGGGCTGCCAAAGAACATGGTGGCTAGACACCATAAAAGTCGACACCAGCCTGAGCACGGAATGATTCAAAGAAATAGTACAAGATCGGAAAACGTGGATAGAGCTGGCCCATAGAATTGCCAAGAGTTGGACATAAGAACATAAGAGACGCCAATGTTGGATCAGGCCAAAGGCCCATCCAGTCCAACACTCTGTGTCACACAGTGGCCAGAAATACCAGTGCCATCAGGAGGTCCACCAGTGGGGCCAGGACATTAGAAGCCCTCCCACTGTTGACCCCCCCGAGCACCAAGATGACAGAGCATCACTTGCCCCAGAGCCCCTATCTATACCTTGTGGCTAATAGCCACTGATGGACCTCTGCTCCATATGCTTATCTAATTCCCTTTTGAAGCTATCCATGCTTGTAGCCACCACCACTTCCTGTGGCAGTGAATCCCATGTGTGGAATTCTTCACTCTTTGGGTGAAGAAGTACTTCCTTTTATGACTGAATGGTTAACAACAACAACAACTCTCTTCAGGGTTACATTGTAAATATATATGCTTATGACAGAAACAGCAGATATTAAATGAAAGATACTGAGAGTTTTATTTTTATTATAAAAGTACTTTTCAAGCCTATATGCTGAGATGTGTTTAAGATATGAGCAGAATGTGCAAAAATAGAAATGTTCAGGCGGGCATTTTTATACAAGGGATGAGAATCCATAGTATAATGGAACAGCTCAGGTTGCTTTTATAAAGGAATAGGATTGTAGCTTGCTTTTACTGCACTATCTTCCGGTTTTGTAACCTTGCTTTTTTACTGCATTATGTTCTAATTTTGTAACCCGCATTTTTCACTGCTTGGTATGTCTTAGTTATTCTTATTTGCCTTGTTTTCTCGTTCTGTAATCCTCCTGCATGAATTATCGGATGTTTTATACTGTCCGATAGAGGGTTTTAAAAAAAATGTCCTGTAAATTTTTGTAATTCACCTTGTGTCTCAGTGAGAAAGGTGGGCTATGCATGAAGTAAGTGAGTAAATAAATAATATATCCATTGGGGTAATATTAGGGAAAACCAGTTTGATATAGTGGTTCGACTGATGGACTAGGAACTGGGTCCTGGGTTTGAAAATCCTCCACGTGTGCCAGGGAAGCTTGCTGGGTGACCTTGGGCCAGTCACACACTCTCAGCCTAGAGCCTATCTTACAGGGTTGTTGTGAGGGTTGAATGGAGGGGAGAGCAACACTGAAAGTTACTTTGAGCTCTCATTGGGAAGAAGAATGAGGCAATATATGAAAAGTCAATAGAAAGGCTGATTAAGGATAAAGCCAGGAATTAGAGTGAAAGACAGCTAGAAGATGAACATAAAAAATGTGGAAACTTGGGGGTATATGAAAAGTTGTTTCCCCCCCCCTCCCCCTTCAGGCTCAGCTGGGTCTTTCAAGCATTCACAAAAGTGAAAGAATGATGAGCTTTGTTCAGCAGAATGTTTTCAACTTTGGCAATAAGCCATCTCTTGTCTTAGTGAAAAATCTAAGGCATAAGCAAAAGTAAAACAATATTGCTAGACCATTATGGGTGACAAATCAGTATCTCGCTTGAACAGGAGATATTCTAGAGCATGGGGAGGGGCTGTGGCACAGTGGTAGTGCATCTCCTTGGCCTGCAGAGGGTCCCAGGCTCGATTCCCAACATCTCCAGTTGAAAGGATCAGGTGGTAGGTGATATGAAAGACCTCCACCTTAGACTCTGGAGGGCCACTGCCAGTCTGAGTAGACAGGTATTGACTTTGATAGACCGCTGGTCTGATTCAGTATAAGTCAACTTCTTGTATTTGTTTTACAAATATTTATGTTATTATATAAATTTCCCACTAGATGTGTGATATTGATATCTTCCTATTTAAGATATTACAACCTAGAGCTCAGGATCTGAAAAAAAAATTTGAAGCCTCTTTTCCAGTTGATGAGATTGTAGCTGCTATAAAGAGACCGAACAGTTAGAAGGGCTGTAAGGCCAGATGGTTTGATGTCTGAATGTTACAAAACTAGTTTAAAGAACCATTAACCAGACTCATCACTGGGTCAGTCCAATTAAAACATATTCTACCTTCTTGGAATGAAGCCAGAACAATTGTCACATTAAAGCCAGGAAAGGATACTCTTAATACTAGTTCTTGCAGACTGATTTCACTTGCAAGTCACGGTTTCAAAATATGAGCATCTATTATTGCTAATATGCAAACTAATGTTATTTTGAATAGTATTGACTGCCTTGTTATGAAACTGATATCTGTTACCCAAATCCATGATAATGCATTTGTTAACTTGGGTTAAGCAATTTTTATATTTTTAGATGCTAAAAAAGCATTTAATAGAGTGGAATGGAAGTACTTATAGGCTATATTAAAATGTTTTATTTGGGAGGAAAATGTACAGATGGGATATTGTAAATGTACAAGTGCCCTAAGACCAGAAGAATGATCAACGGCAATGTGTCTGAAAATTTTCAGTATATAAAGGTGCCTAACAGGGATGTTTCCTTTCTACTTTTACCGTAGAACATTTTGTTATTGCAATAACTAATAATGCTAAGATTCAAGGCATAGGTATTAGAAAATTTAAAAATAGTTTACTTTGCACTTACGTTGACAAATCTACCAGATTCACTTAAAGAGTGGTATCTTAAATGGTTTGGGTCAAATATCACCATAGAAAGCAAATTTAAACAAAAATGAATGTCTTGGTGTTATTAACAAGCCAAAAGGATGAAATGGCTACTGCAATTGCAGGGTTTTTTTTTACGGCTTTGGAGCTTTATTGTTTTTATTATCAATATTACTTGTCTTTATTATTTGATGATAACTAATAAAATTTATTTTTTTAAAAATAGTGAGATGTTCAGAACATTTCTATGGGGGTATGCCAAGGATGGCATACAATAAACTGCAACCACCAGTAAAACTGGGATAAGGGGAGGCTGTTTCCCTCACCTGTGCATATACCACCCCATTCAAATACTGGGATACATTTTAGGGGGTGTAGAATGCAATGAGAGAGGAAACAACTGGAAAAAAGAATTCTGACGCAGGTAATAGATGTTCACTCTCAGTTATTTACTTCATTAAGATACGCAAATAGTTGACAGATTCTGTGCCATGCATCAATGAAGACTTACGACGTTGGGGTTAATTTGGTAGGGCGAATCCAACCATCCTCCAAGTAGCCTTTCTTCGGCCTAAGGAGTATTCCTACGATGGAAGAGCCCCTTAATTTGAAGAAGAGTGTTAGATTGTAGGGAGCAGGGCTATTTTTGGGCAGGAACGCACAGGATCGGAGTGCCAGCTGGCTTCAGAGTTGGCCACGCCCACTACAGTCAAAACCTCTGTGTGCGTGGCTACAGAGGGAAGTCCTAGAGAACGACCCCCCCCAAGTGACTCCAAGGCAGGCAGGCCAGGGGGGCCCTGAAAGGATGGGGAGGCATTTAAATATCTCCCTGTGCCTTCCCCGGCCTGTCCAAGAGCCGGCTTGCCCGGGCTCCCTGCAGCTGTGGGGTGCCTGGGCAAGCCAAGGGAAGGCATGGGGTGTGGCCTAATATGTTAATGAGCTGTGCTGTCATGGTATGGCCTAATATGCTAATGTGTTTCTGCTGTTGGATGTGCCCTGTTATGCTAATGAGTTCCTGCTGGGCTTTTTCTACAAAAAAGCACTGGTAGGGAGACTTCAATCTTGAGCGAAAAGGAAAGATAGGGTATAAGTACTTGAATGGATGAATGATTTTCCACATGCCATCCTGTTGTCACTCGAGATCAGGCAGCTCTTTTTTTTTCGACCAGTGATTTCAGTTTATTAGAACAGAACACAACACACAACAATACATAGAACAAGCCCAACTTATATGCAGTTTGGGACTGGCTAAACCACACCCCTAGAATAGTAAGGTCCAATCATAAGTGAGCGCATAGGCTCAATAGGGTTTGTTCCCACCGAAAGCCATGGTCTTTCCTGATTGGTCTGTTGCACAACAGCAGCCAATCAGGCTGTTGATTTTAGGATCCTGAGAGTCTATGGAGCTTGTGACTGAAGCTCAGGCTATCCCCATACAAATACATAAGACATCCAATCACTGCCAACTCTTGGCAACCGGATAGGGTTATCAAGGCAAGACACAAACAGGCGATTTGCCATTGCCTTC